AAGGAGAGTGATGGAGTGCTGCGGCAGATGACCTGGCCTCCACAGTCACCGGACCTGAACCCAATCTAGATGGTTTGGGGTGAGCTGGACCGCAGAGTGAAGGCAAAGGGGCCAACAAGTGCTAAACACCTCTGGGAACTCCTTCAAGACTGTTGGAAAACCATTTCAGGTGACTACCTCTTGAAGCTCATTGAGAGAATGCCAAGAGTGTGCAAAGCAGTAATCAGAGCAAAGGGTGGCTATTTTGAAGAAACTAGAATATAAAACATGTTTTCAGTTATTTCACCTTTTTTGTTAAGTACATAACTCCACGTGTTCATTCATAGTTTTTATGCCTTCAGTGAGAATCTACAATGTAAATAGTCATGAAAATAAAGAAAACGCATTGAATGAGAAGGTGTGTCCAAACTTTTGGCCTGTACTGTATATATGTATATGTATATACTGGTGGATGAAGTACCTGTAAGCACCATAAAATAGAAAGCAAAGTTGCCTATTAAAAAATTAGTAAGAGTTTTAAAGTATCTGATATCTACTGTACTTAAGTATCAGAAGTCTGTTCAGGATATTAAATGTACTCAAGTATTGAAAATTAAAGTAAAATAAATGCAGGTCGTGCAAAAAAAGCAAGCAGTCAGAATTTTGAGAGTTATGAAGTTTATTTCTTCGTAACATGTACATCACCTTAAAATGGAACAGTCATTACACTTGAATAAAAACTAGTTTATAACTCAAAGGATTCAAGAGCAAAATCCAGTTTTTCTTCCATCCCTCCCTCCCTCCCTCCTTCTTTCCCCATTTTGTAGTCAGTAACTAAGATGCTTAGGGAAATGTGTTGGAGTAAAAGTATACATTTTATTAAAGAAATGTAGTGGAGTGAATATTTTGTTTTTACTTTTAAAACAAACCTATGCCCTTGATGACAATGATTGAATTTTAACATGATTTTGTTTGTCAAACATGTTAATAATGCTGACTAAATATCTGTGCAGATGCTACACAATATAAACCAAAAAAGTGGCTTTTAAAGTAAAGTTCATTTTTCATGTGGGGTGTTCTATATTTGTAGTCTTACATTATATTATTGTATATTATTTAGTTTGCCCCTCTAAAATACCAAAATTTTCACCAAACTTAAATAAAAAATTTTGAAAATATCATTTCAGTTCTTCTCATTAGATCAGAGTGTCAGTTTTTGCAGTACAAAATGTTTTTATGTGTATGTAAGTCACTGTTGAATAGGACTCCGCATCCCCAGGACCCCAAACAGAACACTGAGGTAAAACAGGCCAAAGTGAACATCAGCAAAAGCCGCTCCTGCTTTGAGAAGATTGTTTGTTGGCAGAGGTTCAGGCGAGTCATCCTTCAGTGCAGGTGTGGTCAACCATGAGTGTCTGATATGTTTTTACGATTCATTAATTATACAATATCTGTCCTCAGTGCCTCCCATGAAGGCAGAAAACAACAACAGTTGTTACAAACTGATGTATGTTTGGCAAAGGAGTGGCTGCACTTAGCGTACCTAACAAAGCTACAAGATATTTTTAGAAGCACAGAGACAAACAAACAAAATAAGTGCACCTGCTGCTCAGTGGAGGCGCCACAAGACTCTACAAGAAAGACCTTTTTTCAGGTGATCTATGAATCTCTTTTGCATTAAGCATGAAGTAGAAACAGAAATGGCATCCCTGTCTGACTACTTGAACCTTGGCGGCCCCAACAGAAATGACTTCAGTATGACTCCTTAGTTGGATATCATCTGTGGAATGCTACGCGTCTCAGAGTAGCTGCCAAAACCTTTTCATAGCGCTCAAAATTTGCATATCTAGAGATGGGTTCCGCTCCAGTGATGTCTGTGTCATTTATTTGGCAATCTGCTCAGTGCAGGGTTTTTTTTAATTTTCTTTCGGTTGCTTATCTTCTGATCGGCTTCTTCCTGTCCAACAAACTCCAGTTAAAGCCCAATTACTTTGTGGTACCATATGGTGGTAACCAAGAATGTGGTAACAAAAACATTGACTGAATTATGTTTTTTCAAGTGAGGAAAGTCCCACATTTACACTTTGCTATAAAATGTGATTGACTTGGCGTTGAACAAGCTGACATCTCTTTAATACCCCCTCTTCCATTCTTCTGAGTTCTCGTCTTTCCCTCATATTCTTATCAGAAGATTACCAGGAATAGCTCAGTCCGTAGGGACTTGGCTGGGGAACTGGAAGATTGTTGGTTCAAGTCCTCCATACAGACCAAGTATAGACTGTGATCCTAGCACATTCTCATTCCAAGTCACCACATGTCACTGCTTTGACTTTCACATTAAGATATTACACAGTAGGTATCCTCCTGCGTCTGCTGCTGGCGTTCCGGGACACTGCAACCAATACCTGGACATCAACAAAAACACATGGTTAGGTTTAGAAAAAGATATCACCGGAAGCGAACACCAGGATCATGGATGAAAGTCTGGGCTTTGCTGGACCCATCCACTGGCCCTTCTGCCCACCCTTTTGGAACTTTCCAGCTCCTTATATTATGTTGTCACAGGCCTTGCAGTGGCCTGTCATATTGCAGCAACAGGTGCCTTACAGCCACGTTATGAACTGAAGCTGCCCGTCCACGTATCATACTGCCATGACAGGTGCCGTTCAGGTGACCGGCGGGGTATTATAACACCGCAAAAGGTTCTGTCCGGCAGCATGACAAACTGACGCAGCCCAGCAGTGTATCATACCACTGCAAAAGGTGGCTTTTGGCATCAGTGTTCGACGCTGAAATCACTGACAAAGTAACGGTATTTGATGTCTTAGGAATAAGAACAGCCTGGTGATCACTTCCTGGGTGTTGCCAGGGTTCCCTTGAGCAAGGCACCACATCCCCAAACTGCTCCAGGGGCGCCGTACTATAGCTGACCTGCTCTATTTCCCTTAATTACATGTATGTGGTCAACATATTGTCACTCCCAAACTATGACTTATCAATGCTTATGTCTTGGTACATTTACATATGGCGCATAAAACACCTCATATTTATGTTTTTTTTCCTCGTGCAACAATAGTGGTTACGTTTAGAAAAAAACATCATGGCCTTACAGGGGCTTTCCAGCTCCTTAAGTTAAGCTGTTTTCCAGTGGCGTTTCAAACTAAAGCCAATCAGCAGTGTATCATAACACTGCGAAAGGATGGCTTTTCTCATTAGTGTCTGACATGGAAATCACAGAACAAGTGGCAGTATTTGACAACTTTTGAATGGGAATGAGTTGCTGTGGTGTGTAAAAAGAGGGTAAGTGAAAACTACACTTCAACAGCCAGTTAATCTGAAAATTATGTGGACTGACAAGTGACAATAAATAAATAAATTAAGAGGAATGCAAACAGGGCAGGCTTCAAAATCAACTCATAAAACAGATTTTGATGAAAATAATGATCAAATGAAAAAATATTTTTTCATTTAAAGGAATTGGCGGGCCCTAAAACCTATGTGGCAGCAATGTTGAAACTTCTAAAACCTACTGGTCACACACACACAAGTAGGAATAAAATCTCTGATAATGAATTTTCCATGTATAACAACTAATGTAATCAGGTAGTGCTCAAGTACCATGCCCTAGGTGCCCTTTTTGCAAGATATTGTTTTTCTTCTGTATTTCTTTTAATACATTTATATTTCAGGTTTTAAATGTGGTCTATGGCATCAATTCTCAATCAAAAGTGTGTTGTATGCCTGACAACTGCATTTGAGTCTCCTCTTCAGAATCAGAATCAGAATCAGAAATACTTTATTGATCCCAGAGGGGAAATTATTTATATTACAGGTGCTCCTTGCAAGAGAGGAAAGATATGTGAAAATATAAGAAATTTAAACGATAGTATTTACAAATATATAGTTAAATAAACAGGAATTATTAACAAACTCTTCAACTTCTCTGTGGCAGAATTGTGACACAAATCAACCATACCTGCCTTCATTAACAGCCAAATAATGATAGTGTCTGCCTTACGCCTCAGCATTGTTTGTCACTGCTGTGAAATTTAACCTCTATTACAGTAAAACATCTCAGTACAGCCAGTCTAGCTTAGGCAATAACCCCCAGTAAGCTTACAGTAACAACAAGTTGTACAACCACACTGTATCCCTCCCTCTGGCAGATTTGGGTGTGTGGAGACAAATGCTGAATTGCTTTACCACTTCAACGTGTCTTTTTAACCTAAAACTCAGTTTCAAATAATGTTTATGTCTCCCACACCGCTGCTCTAATTATTGATTTAGAGAAAAATGACATGCAGTTTGGGGCTGCGCTATGTAAAAAGCAGCAGAGGAGGATTGCGGAGCTGCACATGTCTGTTCTCTAGGATTCTTTAAGAAAATTTAAAGCTTATTTAGAATATAATTATATGAATTAGCCCATGACTATTTAAAAAAGAACAAAGGAGAAGAGAATGAGGAGAGGAGGAGAACAAATTGAGAAGAGAGGAGGAGAGCAAAGGAAAAGGCTGGGGAATAAAGTGAAGAGAGGAGAGGAGAGGAGAACGCACTTACCCTGATTGTTGCAGCTCAGGCCTACATTTTAGTTTGGAGGGTAGATTGGTTGGCTTATTGTTTAATTTATTCGGAGAACAATGTTCATTTTGTGTAAATATTTGTTGATTTCAGTGGTCATTTTCTTTATATACCACTAAAGTGCACACAACGTGACATTGGTTTACTGTTGCCTCTTTTTTCTTTTGTTGTTTTTCTTCCACTTGAGCACCTACCCTGCAAAATGTCTGAGTATAGCACAGAATAAAAATGGTCCATTGTGACGCCTACAGTAACAGGACAATTCATTTAATTAATGTAATGTCCTGTTCTAAACTTAAAGGTGTTCCTAACATGACAGTTACTACCAACATAAAATAAACAATACATTTCCTAATTACTGGTGTGGATAAAATGTCACTGAACAAGTTACACGTCTCTATTAACCATGGACCAGCCATGAACCGCCTTAATAAGGGTGGGGAAACCGTAATCATCATTATTTTTAATAAGTACATTTGCTGTGACGTGCATCTCACAAGATTCTTTTTTCTCTTTAACGTCATCATTAAATAATCCTATAAGGATAAATAGGAGGCAAAGGAGACCAAGAAACAGAGAGCAAAGACAGACTCAAGAAGAACAGAGATACAGCTGAAGAAATCACTTCACTTTACCTGACTACAACATCCAAGTGAGTATTTCACTGAGAATTTAAGTTCACTTTGATTTTTAGAAGTTTAGTTCCTTATCTGATTAAATGTTTTATTATTATTATTGTTTTGTTTTTGTTTTTTGGTATGACAACTTGAAATATTTGCAAATTTTACAAATGCTTTGAAATACGCAAATTTAATTTGGTGAACAAATGTTTTATTTTACTTTTGTAACTAAACATGTCTCAATATTAGTGTAGTAAAATTATTTATTTTCTACATATTTACAAAAATGTTATCAGTCTTATCCTTTGATTACATGATTGTAACATAAAATGCTTCTTGTGTTAAGATGTTTGTTGGTCCTGGTTACTCTGGTGTGAGGCTTTGCTGCCAGGTTTTTTTTTGTTTGTTTGTTTTGTTTTTTTGGAGAGGAAAAATATTGCTCCTGGAAGGCACATATTTGGCCTCTGAGCATTTTGTCTTTTTTGACTTTTTAAATGCAGATTTTATGCATTTTACACAAATCTTTGACATTCTCCAAATCCCTAAATGCAGCAACGGTATACCAACGGCAAGAGGTGCATAGTCATGCAGACTCAGCCAGGGAGCTGTTCAGCTGTTCCTTACATATTTGGTTAGATATGTATCGGATCAGAAGGACTTGAAAATGTTGGAATCTGCTGGTGGTTGTTTTTGAAGCTGTTGGCCTGTGTTGAAAGTTGTCCGTCTGTAGGACCGTGAGATTTTTAGCAATGAAATGCTGATGTGATTCAATGTTTTTCTAAGAGATCTTTCTAAAGAGGTCTGTCATTCATTGATTTTGAATTGGAGCTGCTACAGAAACACTTGTGTCAAATTAGTTCATAGTACCATGGTCTTTTGTGTTGGGTGTAGCTGCATTTACCTTCAAACATCTCCAACCAGCAAAGCTTCTTTTACTATTGTGAACCACAGGAGCTGGCTTCAACAAGAAATAAGCTTGTATCTTGTTTAAACTTTACAGTGTGTTGAGACCATTTTTATTTGCTCTTTTTTTTTTAAATTTGCAATACCAGTCATGTCCACTTGTAGAGAAAATGGCAATTTAATGCAGGAGGAAAAAGTGCGTAAAACATTTTTATTTTATTTTTTTGTTTTTAATCAAATTAGATATATTTATGTAGCGCCCAGTGCCTTACCTGGTAGTGTGGGTGCTCCAAGTACAAAGCCTATGTCCTTGTCACAACAGCCGCAGGTTGGATTCCAACCTACGGCTCATGCTGCATGTCGTCCTCTCTCTCCCCCTCTCATTCTCAGTCCTATCCATTATAGGCAAAAAGCCAAAAAAATCTTTTAAAAAAGATGACCACTTCACACGAATGTTGGACCCCAAAAACAATCCAAAATACCTTTTCTTCCTAGCACCTTCCTGGATTTGCATTGTATTGCCATATATTATGTGACACATGCTAACAAAGTTCAGAACTGAAGCCTCGATGAAATGTTAATGTTCTGAAATCTACAATGTTAGATATGCCCTATGAGAAAAGAAGAATGTTATTATTCATTAACAATATACATGTAGAGATTGAAGATCCCCTTACTATTTTTCATTTTCTTACAACAGATGATCATAAATAGTTTTGGAGGGGAAAGGAAAGAAGAGCGGAAGAAAAGCACAATGATTATGAAGACCTTTATCCTTGTCCTTATACTTATTGGTAAGTAACATAAGAAAGACATTTACATTGGAAAACACAACTAAACATGACAACATATGACTGAACTCTGACAAAATTCTTAATTTGTAACAGCATCCAACAGCCAGCCTGCTCAGGGAAGCCTGAAACAGAAGTGTCCCAGAACAACCACAATGGCCCCAAACACAACTACAGCTGCCCCAACAATCACTACAACCACAACAGGACCATCCCCAAGAGGAAATGCAGGAAGTGCGACAGCAGCAGCAACAGCAGCAGCAATAGCAGCAGCAGCAGCAGCAACAGCAGCAACAGCAGCAGAGGTCACTACTGGCCCCGCCGCTGCAGAAGCTGCAGCAGCTGCAGCAGCTGCTGCTGAGGCTGCACAAAGCTTAGCATTAGTTTCCTCACTGGTAAATAGTGGAATAATAACACCAACAGCAGCAGCAGAGCAAGTAAAAACAGCAACAGAAAAAGCCAAAGAAGCTTTAAGTGCTGCCAGAAAAGCCATTGAAGCAACACCAACAATAACACCTGAAGTCATAGAAAACATTGCAGAGGCAGCATCAAATGCATCAGTTGCTGCAGATAAAGCAGCAGAGGCGGCAGAGAAGGCTGCAAATGCAACAACACCAGATGCTGTGGAGGAAGCTACAGCAGCTGCAACAGAGGCGGCAGCAGATGCAGCAAGAGCTATTGCAGCAATACAAGCAGCATTAACAGCAGCTAAAAACCAAACATCTGAAGAAACACCAGCAATCCAGTTATCTATGGTAGCAGCAGAAAAAGCAGCAGAAGCCACAGCAGCTGCTGGAAACACAACAACTAAAGAAACAGAAGCTGAAAAGGCAGAGAAAGCAGCTAAAATAGCTGCTGAAGCCGCAAAAGCAGCTGTAGCAGCTGCAGCAGCAATAGTTACTGCAACAACAACTAAACCGCCTACAGCAACACCTACAGCTGCAGAAAAACCAGCAGGGGCAGAACCAATACCACCCCAAACCACAAGCATAACAACGACAACAGGACCATCCCAAGGAGGAAATGCAGGAAGTGCGAGAGCAGCAGCAACAGCAGCAGCGATAGCAGCAGCATCGGCAGCAACAGCTGCAAGAGCAGCAGAAAATGCTACTGAGCCCCACGCTTCACAAGCTGCAGCAGCTGCAGCAGCTGCTGCCGAGGCTGCACAAGATGCAGCATTAGCTTCCGCACTGGTAAATGATGGAAAACTATCACCAAAAGCAGCAGCAGAACTAGCAAAAACAGCAACAGAAAAAGCCAAAGAAGCTTTAAGTGCTGCCAAAAGAGCATTTGAAGCAACACCAACATCAACACCTGAAATCATAGACAAAATTGCAGAGGCAGCATCAAATGCATCAGCTGCAGCAGATAAAGCAGCAGCGGCGGCAGAGAAGGCTGCAAATGCAACAACACCAGATGCTGTGGAGGAAGCTACAGCAGCTGCAACAGAGGCTGCAGCAGATGCAGCAAGAGCTCTAGCAGCAATGCAAGCAGCATTAACAGCAGCACCTGGAGCAAACACAGAAACACCAGCAATCCAGCTGTCCATGAAAGCAGCAGAAAAAGCAGCAGAAGCCACAGCAGCTACTGGAAACACAACATCTAATGAAACAGAAGCTGAAAAGGCAACCGAAGCAGCTGAAATAGCTAAGAAAGCAGCAGCAGCAGTCCTTTCTGCAATGATTCCTCAAAAGCCTACAGCAACAACAGCAGGACCAGCACCAACTGCAAGAAGTGCAAGAGCAGCAGCAACAGCAGCAGCGATAGCAGCAGCATCGGCAGCAACAGCAGCAACAGCAGCAGAAAACGCCATTGGCCCCGCCGCTGCAGAAGCTGCAGCAGCTGCAGCAGCTGCTGCTGAGGCTGCACAAGACGCAGCATTAGCTTCCGCACTGGTAAATGATGGAAAACTATCACCAAAAGCAGCAGCAGAACTAGCAAAAACAGCAACAGAAAAAGCCAAAGAAGCTTTAAGTGCTGCCAAAAGAGCAATTGAAGCAACACCAACAATAACACCTGAAGTCATAGAAAAAATTGCAGAGGCATCATCAAATGTATCAGTTGCTGCAGATAAAGCAGCAGAGGCAGCAGAGAAGGCTGCAAATGCAACTACATCAGATGCTGTAGAGGAAGCTACAGCAGCTGCAACAGAGGCGGCAGCAGATGCAGCAAGAGCTATTGCAGCAATACAAGCAGCATTAACAGCAGCTAAAAACCAAACATCTGAAGAAACACCAGCAATCCAGTTATCTATGGTAGCAGCAGAAAAAGCAGCAGAAGCCACAGCAGCTGCTGGAAACACAACAACTAAAGAAACAGAAGCTGAAAAGGCAGAGAAAGCAGCTAAAATAGCTGCTGAAGCCGCAAAAGCAGCTGTAGCAGCTGCAGCAGCAATAGTTACTGCAACAACAACTAAACCGCCTACAGCAACACCTACAGCTGCAGAAAAACCAGCAGGGGCAGAACCAATACCACCCCAAACCACAAGCATAACAACGACAACAGGACCATCCCAAGGAGGAAATGCAGGAAGTGCGAGAGCAGCAGCAACAGCAGCAGCGATAGCAGCAGCATCGGCAGCAACAGCTGCAAGAGCAGCAGAAAATGCTACTGAGCCCCACGCTTCACAAGCTGCAGCAGCTGCAGCAGCTGCTGCCGAGGCTGCACAAGATGCAGCATTAGCTTCCGCACTGGTAAATGATGGAAAACTATCACCAAAAGCAGCAGCAGAACTAGCAAAAACAGCAACAGAAAAAGCCAAAGAAGCTTTAAGTGCTGCCAAAAGAGCATTTGAAGCAACACCAACATCAACACCTGAAATCATAGACAAAATTGCAGAGGCAGCATCAAATGCATCAGCTGCAGCAGATAAAGCAGCAGCGGCGGCAGAGAAGGCTGCAAATGCAACAACACCAGATGCTGTGGAGGAAGCTACAGCAGCTGCAACAGAGGCTGCAGCAGATGCAGCAAGAGCTCTAGCAGCAATGCAAGCAGCATTAACAGCAGCACCTGGAGCAAACACAGAAACACCAGCAATCCAGCTGTCCATGAAAGCAGCAGAAAAAGCAGCAGAAGCCACAGCAGCTACTGGAAACACAACATCTAATGAAACAGAAGCTGAAAAGGCAACCGAAGCAGCTGAAATAGCTAAGAAAGCAGCAGCAGCAGTCCTTTCTGCAATGATTCCTCAAAAGCCTACAGCAACAACAGCAGGACCAGCACCAACTGCAAGAAGTGCAAGAGCAGCAGCAACAGCAGCAGCGATAGCAGCAGCATCGGCAGCAACAGCAGCAACAGCAGCAGAAAACGCCATTGGCCCCGCCGCTGCAGAAGCTGCAGCAGCTGCAGCAGCTGCTGCTGAGGCTGCACAAGACGCAGCATTAGCTTCCGCACTGGTAAATGATGGAAAACTATCACCAAAAGCAGCAGCAGAACTAGCAAAAACAGCAACAGAAAAAGCCAAAGAAGCTTTAAGTGCTGCCAAAAGAGCAATTGAAGCAACACCAACAATAACACCTGAAGTCATAGAAAAAATTGCAGAGGCATCATCAAATGTATCAGTTGCTGCAGATAAAGCAGCAGAGGCAGCAGAGAAGGCTGCAAATGCAACTACATCAGATGCTGTAGAGGAAGCTACAGCAGCTGCAACAGAGGCGGCAGCAGATGCAGCAAGAGCTATAGCAGCAATACAAGCAGCATTAACAGCAGCACCTGGAGCAAACACAGAAACACCAGCAATCCAGCTCTCAGTGGTAGCAGCAGGAAAAGCAGCAGAAGCCACAGCAGCTGCTGGAAACACATCTAATGAAACAGAAGCTGAAAAGGCAACCGAAGCAATCGAGAAAGCCAAGGAAGCAGCTGCAGCAGCTGCAGCAGCTGCAGCAGCAGTTGTTTTTTCAACAACTCCTCAAAATCCTACAGCAACAACAGCAATGGCTTCAACTAACAACAGAGCAGTCACCTCAACACTGGCACCAACAGAAGCTGCCACAGTGACAGCAGCAGCAGCCTCTGCAGCAGCAGCAGCAGCTTCAGCAGCAGCAGCGGCAGCGGGAGCTACTTCTACAGCCGTTGGAGCGACAACATCCCCAACTGCAGAAAGAGCAATTATTGCTGCAATGGAAGCAGCCAGAGTTGCTACATTAGTGGCAACAGGGAAAGCACAGCCCACACTGGCAGCAGAGGCAGCAGCAGAAGCTGCTGAAGCCGCCAAGGCAGCAGCGATTGCAGCAGTACAAGAAGCAACAACAGCACCAGCATCAAAAGCAGAAGCAGTTGCACGAGTTGCAAATGCATCATCAATAGCAGCAAAGGCTGCTGAAGAAGCAGCAACAGCAGCCAAAATGGCCGCCTTGGGGAAACCATCAGCAATCGCAGAAGCAAGAGAAGCTGCAGATACAGTGGCTAAAAAATCAATAGATGTAGCAGAAATATTAAAAACAGAATTATCATCCTCCAGTGGGCCAACAGCAATATCAATATCAGCAGCACAAGCAGTGGCAGAAATGGCTGAAGCAACAGCAATGACAGCATTAACAGCAACTGGAACCACAACAACAGAAGACATAGCAGCATTAATGGCAGCAGCATCAAAGGCAACAGCAAGATCTGCAGCAGCAGCAGCAAGAGCAGCAAAAGCCGCACTCCCAAATGGAGGCAGCAATCAAGGTAATAATAATTTTACACTTTGACTTAATTTTTATTTGTGCCTTAGCACCGACTGGTGCGATTCTGCCACTGGGGGACACCACAAATGCAAAAAGTTTATATGTCATAATTGGCTGCATGGGTCCATACAAATTTCGGTTAGCATGGTCTAGGATCATGACTCAGTTAATGCATAAAATTAGGTAATGGCTGATTAAAGTTTTTTGACCTTTCACATTCCAAACTTAAAACAATCACAATAAATCACCTGTATATCCCACAGAGCTGATTTTTTTTTCAGCACATCCACTGACCTGTGACAAAAGTTTGCCTTACTGCTACCTATTATCAATCCAAAAGTTCCTACTTCATAATTTTCAAAATATGCTAAATCAATTAACATCTATTCACAAAGCCTTAATTTAGATGCTACTGAAATTGACACACATTTTTCTTTAAGGATATCACTTTTATTTAGTTTAAGTTCATGACAGTATTTTTTACTGCTCATCCTTGTTTTAGTTTCCATTAATAACCCTTTAACAATTTATCCACAGTGCTACCAACAGCAGCATCCACTAAAACAACAGCAGCAGCACCAGCCATAGAGAGTCCTGAAATAGCAGCAGCAGTGTCAACATCTACAGCAGCAGCAGCAGCAGCAACAGCAATAGCAGCCTCAACAGCAGTAGCCTCTGGAACAACGACATTCGAAGAAATAGAAACTGCAGTACAAGCTGCTCAGGTAGCAGCTAGAGCTGCCACATTAGCTGCAGCAGGAGAAGTACCAGCATCACTGGCAGCACTAGCAGCCAGAAACGCAGCAGACGCAGCAGACGCAGCAGCACTAGCAGCAATAGAGGCACAATTACCAGATTCATCAGCGGTGGCAGAGGCAGCAACAGAAGCTGCAGTAGCAGCACGAGCAGCAGCAGAAGCAGCAACACTGGCAGCTTCGGAAACAGCAACACCAGAAGCAATTAAAGCAACTGCAGAAGCCTCAAAAACGTTGTCAAAGGCAGCAGAAGGCGCATTAAAAGCATTATTAGCAGTCACAGAGGAGGAAGCAGCAGAATTGACAGAGGCATCACGTTTAGCCATACCCATTGCAGAAACAGTGGCAGATATGGCAGAGGCAACAGCAATTACAGGAAAAACAGTAGCAGAAGCTGCATCGGCAAACAGCACAGACATAATGACATCAACAGCACAAGCGGCAGCAAGAGCTGCAACAGCTGCAGCAAAAGCAGCTAAAGGAGTACTGCCAAAACCATCTGAAGGGACTGCCACAACACCAAGACCAACTACCATGAATGCTACAGTTGCCAAAACAGCAGCACCAAAAGATAATGGAGCATTAACAGGGACAAATGCACCTGCAACAATGGCAGCAACAACTACAGCTCAAGGATCAGCTACGGCAAAGAAAGCAGCTGTGGCTGGGATGGCATCAGGGGCTGCGGCAGCAGCCGCCGCAGCCTCAACAGCAGCATTAGCTGCTGGACCAGAAGCAAGGGTGGCAGCAGAAAAAGCAGCAAATGCTTCAAAATTAGCAGCATTAGCTGCTGAACTACTAGCACATGATAAAATAACAGTGGAGGAGGCAGCAGCTGCAGCAAGAAAAGCATCTGATGCAGCAGAGGCAGCATCACTTGCAGCAATACAAGCAGCATCAGCAGCATCACCAGAATCAGCAGCACTGCGCGCAGCGAAAATAGCAGCATCAGCAGTCAAATCAGCAGGAGCCGCAAAAACAGCGGCAAATGCAGCAACAATGGCAGCATCATCAAATTCAACACCAGAAATACTTTCAGAAGCTGTAGCAGCTGCCAGAATCGTGGAAGATGATTTAGAAGAAGCAGCAGGAGACTTAGCAGAAATATTAACAAGCAGCACAGGGCTAACAGCAGCAGAGCGTGCAGCAATTGCAGAGGCTCAATCGGTGGCACAGATAGCACATGCAACAGCAGTGGCAACAGAAACAGCAGTAGAGGCCGCAGCAACAGGAAATGCACCAGGCCTAGCAGGAATAATTACATCAACAACACAGGCAGCAGCAGCAGGAGCAACAGCTGCAGCAACAGCAGCAGGTGCAGCAATGTCAAGATTTCCCACTGGCAATGCAGGAACAGCAACAACAGCAGCAGCAGCAGCAGCAGCAGCAACAACCACAACAACAACGGCTGGTGGCTCAGCAGCAGCAGCTGCCATCAACAACAAAATCAGTGTGGTTTCTGTCACAGTGGCTGTCATAGCTGCTGTGCTTCTATAAAGAGCCACAGAATTCAGCTACAGCAGCATGTCATGATTGACGGACTAATAGTTTACCTGATCAATGGACTCATAGTTTACCTGTTACAAAGATATGCTTTGGGTATAAAATAGAAAAATTTAATCATTACTTTTACTAATCAATAGCAGTTGCAAACATGGCTGATATTTAATCTTTTGAATAGGTGTAAATTCTTAAAATATTTTATTTATTATCCTATTTATTGTGTGCATGCGTGTGTGTGCGTGTGTGTGTGTACCAGTTCTGTTCATCATTTAAATGAAGTTCTAAATATTGAAGAAAACTTTTTGATTGAAATCCTGTAAATATTATATTGCACTTATTAGTATTTTAAATTGTGAATGATGGTAATTGTAAACAGCTGCACCTAATTTATATTTTTAAAAAAAATGTAAGCTTGCTTATCAATAAATTTATGAGAACTGCATTTTTGGCTCAGTCTGTTTCATTCCACCCATCACGAACAGTTCAAACTCTCAATTTGAAAGTTTAACAGATTTCAGCGTTTTCAAAGATACCAAATTTGTCAGAATTTATTTTGGGGAGTCTTAGAAAACAAATGTTTGAAGAGGAAGAGCTGAAACAAGATGATAAAGATTATATATTTGATAGCAGATAGCAGTGTGGAATAAGATGATTTGTTTTAATTTGAAGCTATAAAAGGTATAAAAGGTAACCAAAAAAAGGGAAAGAGGAAATTGCTTTACAGGGAATTTATGTGGTTTATTGGTGTATGACATAAACATGCAAGAGAAAAGAAATAAAAGCTAAAAGATAGTAGCAAAAAAAATCAAGAAACAGAAATGTAGAAGAAAATGACTAAAAATATTTTATAAAAATCCTAGAAAAGATATGTGTAATATATCTAAATTAAATTCAAAAAGCTGTATATTTTTTGGGTAGCTCAGTCCATAGGGACTTGGTTTGGGAACCAGAGGGTCGCCTGGTCAAGTTCTTGCCCAGACCCAGCTGAGTAAGGCACCAAACCCCCAACTGCCAGGGTGCCCATCCATGGGCAGTCCACTCACCCCAAAACTTGTGCATGTGTGTGTATTTCAGGCCTGTCTGTATATGACAACAGAGTGAAAAAAAATTGAAATCCTCAGGGATTAATAAAGTTAAAGTTAAACAAGGTTTAAAATAAATGTGCAATGTGCAAAGATATAGTCTCAAAGATGTCCTGATATCTGATTACAACTACTTTATTTTGTGACAAAAAGCATTTATTGCTATAGTGTTTTTAAATGCTAAATACAGGGGAGGTAAAGTGTTACCAGGAATTGAAAACATTATATATACAACATAAACTTAAAGATTTCTTATGGATGAACAGATAAAATAAAAATCAACTACAACAAAATGACAGATTTTTATTTAAAAACAAATGTCTGTAATAATATCCAGCTCAGTCTTTAACTACTCGTCATCTGCTGTTCATCTGTATGATGGAGAAACAGCACAAAAGTTGTTGGGGGGATGACAGACCCTCTTCTTGTGTTCTACAAATTATTCTACAAATACGTATACCTTGGAACATATGATGGGTACTTGGATAAATAATCACTTTATATTTGTCAAAAGATCAAGGTAAGAAGTATCAATACTGATTTATCCTAGTTTTTTAAGACACATGACATGACGCAACAATACTAGTGACTGAGTGAGTGTGTGTGTGTGTGTGTGTGTGTGTGTGTGTG